TGTCTCAACATGACTAAATTTAATACAGTCGATGAAAAAACACTAATTCATTAGTTCTATATATCATTACAATTCCCAACCATTTATATGTAAATCATCCTGAAAAAGACGTTTATTTAAATATCATACAATGATTTGAAATTTATGGTTTGACTTTATGCTATCCATACAACTAGACAAAATATTTCATTTTGCACATGATACTTTATAGTTATATCTTACACGAGTTTTACAAGGGTGTACACTCTACTTCCACACATAACTACATCATCAATGTCTAGATTTAATCATGTTAAAACCATTAGTTTAACGACAATCTTACTGTCCGTAGGATTTTAACAAATCAGGTGTTATCTATTATTTGAAGGAGATCACAACTTACGTTTTTGTTTTCAATGTATTTATCTGTATTACATGTATTTTACAAAGGACGGAGCCCCCAGTGGCACAGCGGTATGTCTGCGGACTTACAACGCTAGAATCCGGGTTTCGATACCCATGGTGGGCAGAGCACAGATAGCCCTTTTGTGCAGCTTTGTGCTTAATTACACACAAACAAAGGTGGGCAATGTTATTAAGGGTTGTATATAGATATAACCGTACATTTAATTGCATACGTTTGAAAAAGATGTTTCTATGCTTCCGTAGGACAGTATGCAGCGTATAGACATTCTTTTCATTATCATCTGTGGTTCATTAATACTATGGAGACATTTAACTCTGACTCATATAATAAAATCTCATACATGTTGAAAAATCATTCTAAGCTGATTGTTGTAAAGTATGGTTATTTTGCGTTTATGAACTAAATTCGTGTGTATCAGTCTCTCTGTATGTGTGGACAATGTTGTATGTATTATACTTATTATTGTTGTCGACATGTGTCCAAGAAAGTTTAGTCCTCAAAGATTTATGAAAAAATGGAAAATGTTGTTATTCTATAATAGTGATAAATCACATTTATAATGTAGCAAAATGGTTTACTACAGAGTTTATTAACTAGATGTTAAAGTAAAAGTTATCAAACATTCGTTATATGTGTATAAAAAGTTTGCAGTTCATGTGCTTTGAAGCTAGACAGACTGAACATGTCAGAAAATGACTCAGAGTGAAATGTCTCCATAGTGTTAATGAACCACAGATAGAAATGAAAAGAACGTCTATGTGCTACATACTGTCCTACAAAAGTATGCAGACATCTTTGTCAAACGTATGCGATTAAATGTATGTTTAAATCTGTATACAACACTTTGTAGCATTGCCCACCTTTGTAAAATGCATGTAATACAGATAAATTTATATATAATTGAAAACAAAAACGTAAGTTGTGATCTCGTTCAAATAATATATAACACCAGATTTGTTAAAATCCTATGGACACTTTTAATGTAATTAAATCTAGACGTTGATGGCGTAATTATGTGTGGAAGTAGAGTGTCCACCCATGTAAAACTCGTGTAAGATAAAATTATAAAGTACCATGTGTAAAATGAAATATTTCGTCAGTTTGTATAGATAGCATAAAGTCAAACCGTAAATTTTAAATGATTGCATGCTATTTAAATAAACATATTTTTCAGGATGATTTACATATAAATGGCCGGGAATTGTAATTATATATAGAACTAATGAATTAGTGTTTTATACCGACTGTATTAAATTTAGCCATGTTGAGACACGTTGATCCACTTCTTGAAACTATGACGTCATGGCCACCTGTCATGGCAACCTAGCAACGTGCTTCTAGCAACGAGCCCTCTGGTTCCACTTCGTGGAGCTATGACGTCATCGTGGCTGATCACATCATTGTCTCTACCACTTCCGTCCACCCTTTCCTATTGCCTGGCGACCACTACTGAGGCGGCATCCTTTGGGCGCACGACTTCGTGGATAACTATCAACATCAGACTCCTTTAGTACTTTCTAGTCAATGGCACTAACTATGAGTAATTTAAAACATGGTGGTAAGTCTTTTTATTTATGATAAAATATTAATTTTCTTATTAAACCGTAAAGCTACACTACAGGATAATGTGAAGAAAACTCTCATCATCTGTACACGTGAAACGATATTATAGTTTGAGCTAAGTAATAAAAAATCAATATTAGTAAAGATATTATATATTATCCTACAATTTAGATAAAAACGTCTCGTCACATACTGTACCATAAGCTAATATTATAAGAAAAGGAAGGAAATAGTGTATCTATAATCGAACTGAAACCTATTCTATGAAAAACATGGCTTAATAGTTAATTGTGCCGAATTGTGAATCCCACTGTCCATGGATCGCGTACGCTGCCGCAAATTTGAGTTCATCAAATTGAGGCAGTTGGTGTGTTGTAAGACTGACGGTTAAATCCCACTATTAAATTAGAGTAGCGCAAGAGTTGGCGGTAGATACTGTTAACTAGCTGTCTCCCCGTTTGTCTATAAGCTCAAAATTATGAATGACAGACGTAGATAACTCTTGTGTAGACTCTATATCAGCGTTTCCCAAACTTTTTTGGACACAGAACACTTTTCAGCAGAGAAAAAGCTTAAGGAACACTAGATACGTGAAATATTCATGTATAGGGTATGTGTGCGCACGCAGCGTGCGTAGTATTATCCTGTTCTATTGTTTTTGTTTATTTAAAGGGCTCATTTTACTATTACAGCTGATGGCAGTTTTTGACAACATGTGGATTTATTAAAAATACCTAGTGAAAAGAAAACAATCTACTGTTTCGTTAATAGCGCGTTGGTGGAATTTGAAAACTAATGTCTTTACTTTTCATTCTTTGTTTTTGAATTTGCACACATGTCCAAGTAAATAGTTAAGGAAATTTAATGAATTTTAAATAAAAACATAAATTAAGGAAACACAAACACTTCATAGGATCTTAAGAAAAAAAATAAAAACTAGAATGTTTGTAAATGGTCAATACTCTTACCTCTCTCGTGTGTTTGGAAATAACTTATGAAGCGAGATTTCATGAAGGTTCCAAGTGAAGTAGTCGAATTACATTAGGATTTAAATTACGTTTATGTATTAAATATATATATATATATACTTTTGCTATTACTTGTGTGAAACATTAGTGTATACAAGTAGTATATAGGATATAGTATCGTATAGAGCAGCGTTTCCCAAACTATGTTCTGCGGAACACTGGTGTTCCGTCCGAGATTGATAGGTTCTCCGTGATAAAATCATGATTTTAAATTTTAATGAAATATTTAACACTTTTTTGTACGATCATAACTTATTATGAAATTTTTTTCCCATTTATTAGAATTAGATAATATCGATTTCACATTGAAGAATAATTATAGAAGATGCCATATCTATTCTACATAATATCTTAGTGGAGAGGTTTGTGCCTAAAATATATTATAAGCATGAAAATGTAAAAATTCATTAATATGTAATTTGATCAAATAAATAAATGAATAATATACAAATCTAGAGGGGGTGGCGTAGCAAGAGTTCTCAGCACCCTGGGGCAAAGATACTTTTGGCACCCCACCTCTGACATGTTTTGATTAGTTGTTTTGTGACTCATTACTCACTTAATGACAATAACATAAAGAATTAATTACCGCCTTACACAGGCCTAAAATAAAGTCACAATATAACATATCACGATATCACAACTGTAAACCTGGAACTAATGAAGTATAGCCTACTAGGTGTAATTACATAATTTGTAAACAATTTGGATATTTATGTCATCCAGTATTGTTCAAAGTCACATAGCTAGAGTAATCTTTCAAGCATGCAGAATAAATTTATGTTATATTCCTAGTTTTGAAACTTATGTTTTATATGAGAAGACAGTCACTTGTGGTGTATATGGATTATAAAACAGATTGATAAAATACTACTTAAGTTTACAAATAACAAATTTTATTTGTTTACAAAACTGTACATATAGTTAACTAGATCTTGTACAGGTAGCATTCTGGTATTCATGGTTACATTATATGAACCTTTCGTGCTTTCGCTGCTACAAATGCACAATCAAACTATCAAAATTTAAGGTATTAAGTACGTCTTTTTTCAATACTTAATATTGCCAAGTCACTAAGTCGTTCTTGACTCATTGAGGTTCTCAAGTATGTAAGAATTAATTTCAGCTTGCTGAAGAACTTTTTACAATAAGCAATAGAACCCCAA